GTTTACCAGGGCTACTACTCTTGAGACATAGACTCCAATCTTTGTCTCCCTAGTCCCATGAGCCTGTCTTAAACACTGCTGAGCTCTCATTCTCCTCTTCTTGAGTAGCAAATAGCCACAAGATAAAAGCTCTGCCAAACACTGGATTCACCATTCTGGCTTTCCATCTCCTCCCATATCCTTGGCTGATAACTCTTCACTTTGTCCTTACTAGTTGTCCTTGATAGGGAGTTGGTCTGAACTATCTAACCTAGCATTACTGGAAGCTGATATTCAATAAATGTTAGTTCCTCCCCTTTATGTCTCACCCCAAGCCTGGATGATGTTACAGTTAAGGCTAAAAAAAAAACCAAAGCAGAATACAAGACACAGAAGAGAAGAAAAAGTACTGAGAAGCTTTAAATGCTTCTGGGCATCAAGACTAGGACAGGCAGGTTTGCATTCCTCAGTAGCCCACCACCTTACCTTTGCTTCATGCTCTGTGTCCTTCCCAGAATGTCTTCCTTCCTCTCTCCCACCTATCTAAGCTCTTTCAACCTGGGATATTATGGGCATTCTTCTATACTAAAAAAATAACAACAATTTCTATTTGATGTTTTTCCACTATGGTATTTCCAATAATGAGTCCTATACATGTTGCCAGCCAGTCTGGCCACTTCCCAGATGCCTTCCCTAGAAACTGCAGACCACCCCACTCTCCTTCCCTGGAAAGCTACTGCAATAACCATTCACCACATCCTCTTTGTACTTAGGGTTTGGTATAAAGTCTAATCCCCTAGATTCATTAGATAATTCCTTAAGGATCATGTCTCTCCTCAAGCCCCCCTTCCTTCAACAGCTCTCTGAAAATACTTGTATTCACGTATTCTCTGAAAACCAAAGATCTCTTATTATGGGAGTGGGGTTTCCAAACCTTGGGATGATTATCCTCAAGACTCACAGGGTTTCCTGGAAAGCCCTCTCAGGTCCCCTCCCTCTTGGAGAACTCTGTACTATTGCTCAATAAACTTTGCTTTGCTGCCCATCAAAAAAAAAAACTAAAAAAGGGGGGCGGCACCTGGGTGGCTCAGTCAGTTAAGCATCTGCTTTCAGCTCAGGTTGTGATCCCGGAGTCCTAGGATTGAGCCCCATGTAGGGCTCCCTGCTCAGCGGGGAGGCTGCTTCTCCCTCTGCCTCTGCCACTCGCCCTGCTTGTGCTCTCTCTCTCAAATAAATAAAATCTTAAAAAAAAAAAAAAAGACTTCCAGGGTTTCCCAAGAAGAGATACTCTGAGGTCTCATGGCATTCAGCAGAGATCTGCCATATGTACGCTGTCCCCTCCAAGAATGTGGGCAGATGGGGCACTCCACCATGTCCCCACATTCCTGTACTCTTAGATCTCTGTGGCTCCAGAGATCTAAGCCAGTCTCAGAGATCTCGGCTAGGGCACTAAAAAGCAGTCTTTGAGGGCACTGAAGGCCAGTTCCCATTCACTAAGTACCTTCAGGGAATATTGCTTCTGCTCAGGGAAAGAGCTGTCTGCACAGCATTGCTGGGCTCAAGGTGGGGGCTAAGGGGGTGGTGGTGTCTGGATGTTCTTCACAACCCAAGAGGCCTCAATCCCAACATCTGCTCCTCATCCATATCCAATATGGAAGCCTAATTTGAACTGCTGGAGATATCCCCTATATCCAGGAAAAGAAATCGAGACAGAGGAGGGGAGCGGTGGCATCACATCCCAGAGGCAGAGATCCTTCCAGTACCTGACCCTAACAAGACACATGCTGGCCCATATGAAGAAAACAACGTAACTTAAAAAGAGATATGAAAGAAGGCTTGAATAATGGAAATGAATACCATGCTGTCAGGTGAGAAAGCTAAAGATATGGGTTTTTCCAAATTAATTCCTATACTTACTATAATCCCAATCACAACACCAATGATACAGAGACAGAAAGCACATTAGTGGTTGCCTGGGTCTAGGGGGTGGGAACAAGGATGAACTGCAAAAAAGGAACAGGGATCTTTTTAGGGTGATGGAAATGTTTGAAAACTAGATTTCGGTAGCATCTTCATAACTCTAAACTGCGTACATTAAATTGCACATTTGAAATAAGTGAATGTCATGGTATATATATTATACCTCAATCAAGTTGTTTTAAAATATATATCTAGCAAGTTTTACTAAAAGATCATTCCAAATACAAAGCGGACTTGAGTTTTCCATGAAAAGATTTAACAGGCTTTTGATCTTGTTAAAAATAGCTTACCACTTTTTTTTAAATGTGATTTTTTTTAAGTGGTAAATATACAGGTACAAGGTTAAAAACAACAACAACAACAACAACAAAACTGAACAAACAAAAAAACACAGTGACATCTGGAAATTTAAAGAGTTTCAAACGATGATTCTAAAGTTTCCCTAGAGGAATAAACAAGAAAGAATAGCTAAGAAAATTTTTAAAAGAAGTCTAAGAGGGTTGTTCTGCTGGAAATTAAAGCCACAATCATTAAAACAGTTCAGTCCTGTTGTAAGGATCAATAAACAAATTAATGGATTATGATAGGTATATATAGGAACTAAAATAGGCTTTAGTATGTATAAAAATTAGTATATAAAGAAAGGACCACAAACTAACATCTAAGAGTTAAATATTCCACAAATGATATTGGGGGAAATTACCTATTTAATTAACCAAAAATTGAGCAGGAAACTAATTCTATACTATATACTCAAATCAATTTCAGGTTAATTTAAAAGTCAAATGGAGAAATTCAAACAACAAAAATTACTTTTAAAATGTAGATTAATACTTAACTAACCTTAGAATAGGGAAGGAATGCATAAACTATGGAAGGAATGGTTAAACTATATGTGGCACCTTATACAACCATTAAAGTTTTCCAGATAATTTTTAGGAACCATGAGAAAATGCTCATGAAATAATGAGAAGAGCAAAAAGCAGGATATAAGATTGAATCAGAAGAAGAACACACACTAAATTTTAAAAATAAGAAAACTGCATATACAGAAAGATTGGTAGATACATCACGATGCTTCTCGATGGCAGAATTACAGGTAAGCTGTTACTTTCCCCATTGCATTTTTAGGGGTTTCCCCTCATATTTTTCACCAGGAGCATGGGTTTCTTTCATAATCAGAAAAATAAAGATATTTTTTAAAGACATGGTTAAATGAAAATACGAAAAAAACAATCAAATTCAGCCATTAAAAAGCAGCAGCTTCAACGTACGTATACACAGATGTTAAATGCGTTTTTCACGTGGGTGATCTATGCCACAATTTTCTAAGTAGAGAAAAGCAAAAGCCACACAGCGTCTTGCAGGGACAGTGGAGAGGCAAGGAGCGCCCTGGCAGGAGCGTGTCCCCACCACTGTGGGCAGGGAGGCCGCCTATCGTCAGACTTGGCTGCCGGCCTGGTCGCTTCCCGAATGAACTCCCTGTGGGCTGCGTCAGGCACACAGAGCGGCCCCATCTAGGCCACTAGGAACTCATCACACCAGCTGCCAACAGCCCCAGAGACCAAGCGTGAGGGCTGAGTCACCAACAGACTCGAGAGTCTGGTTTGAGGTTCGCCCCACTCCCAAACCCTCTGAACTACTGTCCCCACAGACTAACTCAGCACCACCCTTGAGACTGGTCTCTCCCTCCTTCCCCGCCTGTCGTCTGTGAAGCGCCCCTTCCCATTGCCCCCTGCCCCACGAGGTCCAGAGGCAGGCAGCTTGTCCCTTCTGCCATCTGCCCCCACTCTTGAAATACTTTTCCTTTCTGCCACTTGTAGGAAATACTGCCTTTTTTCTGCCCACCGTAAAACCATCTCCGGAAAACTCCATCTGCCCTCGGGGCGCCTGGGTGGCTCAGTCGGTTGAGCGTCCGACTCTAGATTTCGGCTCAGGTCATGATCTCAGGGTCCTGGGATCCGGCCCCACTTTGTTGAGCCTTGCATCGTGGGGCTCCCTGCTCGGCGGGGAGTCTGCTTCTCCCTCTCCCTCTGCCCCTCCCCCTGCTCATGTGTGCACGCTCTCTCTCTCTCGCTCAAATAAATTTTAAAAAATAGAAATAAAAATAAAATACCGCCTGCCCTCTGCCCCCTGAGACATGCAGCGCTGACCAAAGGGGACAAAGTGTTTCCCTCTGTCACTCCTCTCAATGCCGTTCCTCCGTCCCCGCTCCCCAAACTCCTCAATGCTGTCGCCCACCTCTTCTTTGAAACGTGGATATCCCCATCCCTACCTCCGCACAAAGCATCACCTTCCCTCCGTTGGCCACGTGGCCCCCGGGAAATGATGACCCTCCTGTTCCCAAGGAAAAGAATTGGCCTCTATCCCCCACTGGAGTCATTATTACTGTATTATTTCTCCTGCCATTTCGTTAGTTCTTAACATGCACCAGGCCCTCCGCTGAGCAGGCAGATTTTCCCAACAGCCAACAAATTAGGTAACATTTTTATTCTGATTTTACAGCTTGCCCCAATCACCAGATGCTAAGCATAGTCAGATTTGCCCATAGGTACACCTGACTCCAAAATCTTAGATAAAAACCCAGATTAAACCAGAATTTCCTGGACAGTTGATATTGTTAAAAATCTGAGAAGCATCCAGGTCGAGACCCACCACACACAACAGCTCACCCCAGCTCCTCAGTCTCCCCATGAGACACTGTTGCCTCAGTATACCCCCAAGAAAACCCTCCCCTGGCTCTTTCCTCCCCAAAGAACATCGTCTCCCTCCACCTCCCTCCCTCCGCCTCGGCCGTGAGCTCCCAGGCTGTCACAGGGTAGGGTCACAGGCAGGCTGTGTTGCCCTCATGCCCGGCGTCTGGAGATTGGCTGGGGCTAAGGCCAGGCCTGTGGTCCCCTGCTCCTGGCTGGCACTCCATCACCACCTCACCCCCTTCTATAAATAGCCCACCGCTCACTGGCTGCCGAGCTCTTAGAGCAAGAGTTTCCATGAGGTCAGCTTCCCAGAGCAGCCTCCAGGCACCCGACACCCACGCTTACCTCTCCCGAAGTCCTGTGGCCTGCTCGCCCCTGCAGGGGGCTGTCCCGGGCGCCGTGTCTCCGCCGGGCAGGGGGTGTGGGCACTTGGGCAGAGGCCTGAGGTGGGGCCTTCCCTGAGCTCTGGGCCCCTGGTTCTGGAGCTTGGCTCAGGGAAGAATCAGGCTTGCTGTCGGCGGTGGGCTCCCCTTTGGGCTTCGGAGGGGCAAATCTCTTCCTGTTGAAAGGCCTAGTTGGCTGGGGGGCTGAGGACGTGGGCTGGCCAGGGGCAACAGGCCCCCTTTCACTTCCAGCCTCACTGGGTACCTTCCCCAAGGGCATCTCTCCAGGTGCCCTGCCACTTGGGGTCTGGGGCCCCTCCTCCCCATTCGGCCTGCCCGCCCGGGTGCTTTCCAGGGAGTACACTTGCTGGTCGGGGCCTGGGACGGGGCCTGGGATGGGGCCTGGCGCCGGGGCATTCTGGGCCTGCTCTCGAGTGCCCGCAGCTCGAGCTGACTTCCTGAGGCTATCCACTCCAGGAGCCCCAGGCCCCCATGCAGCCCTGCCTCTGGGCCGGGTCTGGACCTGCTCCATGTCCGTGGGCCCCTGTGTCCCAGGCTTGTCGGAACTAGGGGCACGGCTTTCGGAAGATTGTTGGCTTCGAGCTGCCTTCTCTAACTCTGGCTTCCGTAGACCTTGCTTAGGTTCCTCACCTTTCTTTTTCTTCTTGGCCCCAGACTCCTTTTGGGGGGCTCGCTGAGGCCCCAGCTCCATGGCCTCACAGATGTACGTCAACAGGCCGTGCTCCCCATCCTCCCCGTTCTCGGGGGCAGCCTCCCCGTTGGTGGTCACCTCTCCGGGAGCAAAACTGTTGATGAGGCCCAAAGCTGGATGCTGACCAGGCTCAGCCTCTTCCTTCTGCCAAGCCGCTGGGGTCCCGTCCTCAGCCTCCCTGGTGGGGGCCGAGGGCACTGACGCCTCATCCCCGCTCAGCCGCCGTTTCCGCTGGAAGCGGTCGGGGCTGAGCTTGCGCAGAGTGTCGGCGTCCCCCACCACCTCCTTCCTGGGCTTCCAGTTCTGCTCGATCTCTCGCATCTTTGCCGCAGCCTTGCGCTTCAGTTTGGTGAACCAGCGCTGGTGGATCTTGTATTCAGTCATAGTGCCAACCTCCAAGACCCCTGAGCAGGACACGATGCCCTTGGTGTTCCGGGCAGAGGCCTGGTAGATGGCCGCATCCTCCTCTTGACACCTAAATGTAGGAGCACAAGACGCTGACTCTCCCCTCCTGCCAGGTGAGAGGCCCTCTACCCCACAACCAGCATCTCCTGGAACCGAGCGTGCTGCCCCACCCCCTACGGGTCCCCCCGAGCCTGAGTGCCACACCCCACCTCCGACACCACTGCATCCAACACTCCCCGTTACAGTTGGGGAAACTGAGGCTGGCAACAGGGAGGGAGCTGGCCCAGGGCACGCTGTTCCAGGAGGGATTAGACGTGAGGTCCAGGAGAGCGCCCTTCAGAAGCAGGTGACTCATACAGCCCCTTGTGAAGTAAGGATGACACAGGAGCTTTTTTCAGTAGCTGACCTCATGGAAAATGTTTCCACGAGTTGGGACCTCCTCTGGTTACGCTTCACTCTCTGGCTGTCAGAAATCCTCCCACCCTGGCCTTAGGAGATCCCAGACCCTGGCAGGCAGGCAGCTCACCAGCAGGTTCAACTCAGCGGCAGAAACCTGCCCTCCACCCTAGGATCCCTCCTGGACACGAGTGTCCAGCTGAGCCCATCTCTGCTGGGGCCACAGGACACCCAGGAGTGCAGAGAAAGCAGGACGGGCCGCTTTCCCTCACCTGTAGAGATGTAGTGCGTGACAGTTGCCCTGGTGAGTGATCTCATACTTCGGCAAACCACAGTAGCGGTCCAGCTCTATGTCATCCTTGTACCAGGTCACCTCTGGCTCTGGGTATCCTAAGAAGGAAGTGGGGGACTGGGTTTCAGGAAGAGCAGTTCCAAAATAGGAGAAGGAGAGAATAGGATGCCATAGCTTCCCCAGACCACCGTCCCCCCTCGCTGGAAGAAAAGGGCTATCATTTGGCTCTGTTTATTTTTAGAAGCTAGCCCATGTCAAGGCAGAAAACTGTTCTGTTTCAGCAGCTGGGAGGCATATATGGAGGAGAAACTTCCTAGCGGGGAAGCAAGAAGTTTCCAGAAAGCCTTGGCTGGTAGTAACAAGCCTCCTTCTTTTGGTGTCCTGATCTACATTCTCAACTGCAGTAATAGCTCTATCCTCAGAGGTCTCCCCCCAGTACCCCAACACCAAGAGCCTTCTTTTATCCCAGGTTGCTGAGATGCTGGCATTATTTGCTGACACAGCTAAAACATCCATCCATCCATTATCCATCCATCCATCTATCCATCTATCCATCCATCCATCCATCCATCCATCCATCCATCCATCCATCATCCTGCCATCTACAATTCCCTACCCAATCATTCACTGCTGTGGGACTTCCAGCCCTGCCCACAAGGAGAGCTTCCAACTGTTAGAGTCACGTGTCCCTGCCTCCGTCCTCACCTGGCTGATGGGTCTGGTAATGGACACCCAATCAGCTAATCGAGTCCAGTTATTTGACCTAGGTTTCAGGAATCAGGACCTAGAGACAATCTACCCTTGGGCCTGGCGCTATGATTTCAAAGGGGTGCAGCCCTGTTCTCCACGTGGACCGGCCTGCAGTGAGATGCAAAAATGAAGCTGATATTCAGGACAGAATAGGAGATAGGAGACAGATAGACAGTCCCAACATCCTTCCAAAGACTGGCTCCATTCCTTGCCTGGGCATCGAGGAACTCCTACTTATCAGTCCCACCAGCCTTACCAGTGAACCCTGCTTCATTCCTTAAGCCGACTCCAAATGACTGACACTGTTGATCCAAATTCAAAGACCCCTAGCTCACATTCCCTCCAACATACATATTAAGTGTGCTGAGTGCCGCGAGGGGCTTACACAGCTGTGGAAGCCTGGCCGGCAGGCTCTCTGGTCTCAGGGAACCCACCGTACAGTGGAAAAGGTAAGTCAGGGGACACCTGCCCCACCCTCCCTGCTGTCTTTGGATCTGCGGCCCACACGTCTCTCCAAAGCTGTCCTCCCTGGACCCCATCTCTTCTTGCCTCATCAAGGATGTCTTTCCAACAGTTTTTCCTGCTCTTGCCCCCATCAGCAAACTGTTCCCCTCTGTGATATCATCCCCCTTGGCACACAAGCCTGATGTATGAGTTTTACAAGACAGTTCTCTGCAGCTGCTGTCTGCGCTGTCTTCCTCCCCTCCCCTCCCATCAGGCTTTTGTGCTCACACAACACCGGAACTGTGCCCGTGGAGGTCACTCATGACTCGCACGTCGCCAAATCTACTGGCAATTCTTACGCCTCATCTACTCAATCTGTCGGCATTGACCCCGCTTCCTGAGACCTTCTCCTCACTCCTTCAAGTGCTCTTCCTGCATCGCGGGCCACTCTTTCTAATTTCCTTCATCTGTCCCCCTCACCACCGGGGCCTGTGAGTATGAGGCGCCCCAGGGCTCAGGCCCCAGAACCGCTCGCCCCTTTCGATCCATATAACCCGAGGCCCTAATGCTGCCCTCTGGCCGTTAAAGATCTATATGCTCACGACTCCCACATTTGTACGTCCAGCCCAGACCTCCCCCCTGGACTCCTGGTTCCTAATTCTGACTGTGTGTCTTCACACCTCCACTTGGAGATCTAATAGGTCTCGGAATTACTATGCCCCAGGCCCAGCTCCTCATGCCCCTCTCCAGGACAGTTCCCACATAGCTCGGGTCCATGGCAACTTTATCCTCCTAAGTTGGTTCGGGCCCCAAATCTGGAGGTATTCCTTTATTCCTTTCCTTTTCACATGTCCACTCCATCAGACAATCCTGTGGGCCCTCCCTTCAGAATATATCCAGAACCTGATCTCTTCTTGCCACTCCCCACCACCAACCAGTCCCCACCATCATCTCTTGCCTCAATTTCTATAATAACCTCCCCGGTGACCTCACTACTCCCAATCTGGCTTCTATTCAGCCCACTGTCCACATAGCAGCCAGAGTGAGCCTTTTCAAGTCAAGTCAGGTCGTGGCACTCCTCTGCTCCAAACACCCAGGAGCCCCCATTTCATGTAGGCCCTCCTGATCGGGGCCCCGCACCCCCCTGCCTCATCTCCCAACACTCTTGGCCTTGCTCGCTGCCCCCCCAGCCACAGGGTCCGACTGGCTCACCTCTAACACACCGTGCGAGCAACCCACCTTGACTCCCTCACTTTCTGTCCTCAAGTTACCTCCTCAGGGGGCCTTCTCCCCCGCCCCGTATTAAACAGAACCCACCCTCCCCGTGCCGCTACTCCTCTCACTGTGTTTGGTGTATAGAACGCTTTGCCATCTGACATGTGATACACTGAGGAGTTTGTTAGACGACGTGGATCCTCTCCAACCCCCAGTGGGACATCGGTTTGTGACTTATCTGTGTTATTCACTGCTGTGTCCCTAGTTCCTAGAATAGTCCCTGGTCTGGAGCCAACGCTCAGGAAATATTTATAGACGAATACACTAAGTGCTCAGGGTGCCAAGAAAGGAGCAAGCACCTGTGGCTAGGATATCAGCAAGGGCTTTATGGCGGGAGCGGCATTTGAACTGGCCGTGAAGGGTGGGCGGAATTTCAGAAACCGTAAAGTTTGGTGCCTGCACCTCCCTTCAGGGCACGAATCAGGCCGCTGCGGTGCACTAAGTCCCTGCCTGTCTCTTCTCCGAGACCCGCGCCCCATGTGCGCAGTTCCGTGTTCTCTCCTGCTCTGTCCTCAGCAGCTGAGACGGTGCCTGGCGCATAGCAGTCACTTAGTAAAACCCTGATGGATGAGTGAGTAAAGGAGTGAGTAAGGAAGTGAGTGAACAAACAAGCAGGAGACAGATGGGGATGGCACGCCTGACGTAGGAACCGTAACAGTAGCGTGTGGGGGTGGAGAGCGAAGGACACGCCAGGTGACTGCGTCCAGGAGCAGGGAGCAAGGGAGGCGAGGCTGAAGCTGAGTCGGCCAGGAACAAACTCTGGGCAGCCCTCACTGTAAAGCGAGCCCCATGTTTCCACTGTGAGCTAAAGCCCCTGGTTACATCACCGCATGTGGCCAAGGCCAGCACAAATGTCCTCACCATCCTGTGCGATGATCTCATCCCTCCCAGGGCCCGGCTCAGAGCCTCCCGGCCCCATGATCTGCCCAGTAGGGCCTCAGTCTCCAGGGCATCTGAGTCCAGTCAAGCTGGGGCAGGGAAGGAGATATTGAATGGACCCCAGCACCCCAAGGCTGAGGCCTCAGCCCCCATGCCTTCCTCCGGTGCTTCTGCACAATGTGGCGGTCAGCCTGACAGCTTAGGGCTCCATGGCAACAGTGGGTTTTTGAAACACTTTTATTTGGACAGAAAACATCTCCTTGTGCCCTGGATAATATGAAGTGTGTCTAAAACACACAAAAGCAGGAAAGGTCCTTCCCTCCCAGCTGCACACACATGCCTGCCCGCGCGTACGTGCCCACAAGCAGGCGGGCACACACGTTCAGCTCTGGCCAGGAGAGCCCACGTGGTCCTGCAGCCTGTGGCTTTCCCTCTTTCCCCCCGAGACCTCTGCTTCACAGCCAGCAGGCCTGAGTCTGGAACCCAGCTCGGAGACTTGCAGCCTTGTCCCAACCATCCCCAGTTTGAGAAGCTTGGGTGGAAGAGATCAAGAGTGATGAGTATCAATATAGAGTTTTCCAAAGAGCTTTCAAACAGTTTCATCTGGCCCTCCTCACAATCCTGTGAAAACAATTCTTCACACTTACTGAGGACTAATTATGTGCCAGGTACTGAGCCGAACATTTTTCTTGTATTATGTAATCATCACAAAAATCCTACAGGAATGTACTGTTATTAACCCCCAATTTAAAGAAGGGGAATTCGGGGCACCTGGGTGGTTCAGTCAGTTAAGCATCTGCCTTCAGCTCAGGTCATGATCCCAGGGTCCTGGGATCGAGCCCCATGTTGGGCTCCCTGCTCGGGGGGGAGTCTGCTTCTCCCTCTCCCTCTGCCCCTCCCCCTACTTGTGCTCTCTCTCTCTCTTTCTGTCAAATAAATAAATAAAATCTTAAAAATAAAAAAATAAAACAACAAAGAAGAGGAATTCAAGGCCCATGAAATTAAGACTTCTGTCCCAAATCATCCAGCTGATGACATGCAGAAGAACCAAATTCAAATCCCTCTCTTCTATAAAACAGGCAGGTCAGGGGTTTTAATCTGTGTTTCACACAAAAGGAAGACAAGGCTCTGGGAAGTGAAGTGACTTAGCCAGAGTCACAAAGCATCTGGCTTCCTTTTCCCTTTACCGATGCTCTTTCTGGTGAGGATTCTGGGACCAATAAGTAAATTTCTGTTCCCAGCATTCATTATAGTAGACTTGTTTCTCTGAGAAAGGTGTTTTTCAGGAACTTGGTTCTGTCTCAAGGCTCCGTCACTGCCCAGCGGCTTGCGGTGGCTTCCTCCCCTGCCCCAACATCTATGCACACACACACACACCCCAACACAGAATCCACAAAGAGCTGAGGAGAGTGGGGGAATGGGGCCGCCATACTGGACAAAGATGGGCAACCTCAACGAGGACAGTAGCATTCTGGCCAAAGGAGCCCCTGGGGGACACAGCAGCCAGACGGCTGAGTCAAGGCCTGCTGTCCCCCCCTTCACCACCTCCGAGAGGGGAGAGCCTCAGGATTGTATATTCTTCTCCAAGACCCCAAGGACTTCTCTCAGAGCTCAGCCAGCCGGAGAACCGGCACAGACTCCTCTCCCTCACGTGGTCTAGGTTCTGCCCCACCAGAAAGCATCACGTGTTCCTGGCAGGGCCTTGATGGGGCTGACTCATCACAGTCTAGTTTAAGGAACACTACCAGCA